TTTTTTTTTGCTTTTTTTTTTTTTTTTTTTGAATTACAAAATTTATTCTTAAAAAATCTACGTCAAACACGCTTTTAATAAATTTTATAGTGTTAAATATGAGAGGAAAAACTGAAGGTACTTGTATAATTAATAATAATAATTTTAGCTCGGTTTTATTTATGGCAATTAACATGAATTAGATTTGAGAAATTAATTAATTGGTACCAGGTACACATAAAATGTGTCATAATGTAGCAGAAAACCAAAAAACCACCAAGCCGATCGATCAAATTAATAAACAAACGAGACTATAACTAATGTATACTTTTTCAACGTTTAATAGTGTTGCTCAGTTACCTTCAGAACAGGAAGCTTCACTGCAGTTTCCCTTGTGAGTTTGATTGGGCTATAAATAGAGCCATATCCAACCCACTTCAACTACAACTAGTTCTTCATTTTTCATATATTTCTATCAGTTCTATTTCCCCAGTTTACCTGCACCAAATTAATCTGGCCATTTATATCTTCAAATAGAATTTCATCACCCTGCAGGCTTTCAATATCGATTTGGAATCTGTAAACCAGCTTATTGATCAGTATTGCTGCTTGAGTACTGGGAAGCAGAAAAGACCAAAAAGACAGAAGAAAAAGTAGTCCTTATCATATTGTTTCAGTAACTACTGTGCATGCTTGTCTCACTATAAACTTGTTACAGCATAAGCATCATCTTCATTTTACAGGGAAAACGTGTCAGATTTAAAGAAGACTCTGCAACTTTTACTGATAGACCAGGAAGCATCACTCCGAATAGCCTTCTCCATCGCACTTTGAACGAGTTACTTCTCTAATATTCCCTACAAAGCCAGGCGGTCCGTTCATCCATATCCATCCTTCCTTTTCATATATTTCTATCAGTTCTATGTCGTTCCCCTACTTTCTCTGCACCCAATTAATCCTGCCATTTCTATCTTCCAATAGAATTTCATCGCCCTGCTGGCTTTCAATATCGATTTGGAATCCTTAAACCAGCTTATTGATTAGTATTGCTGCTTGAGTACTGGGAAGCAGAAGAGGGCAAAAAGACAGAAGAAAAGGTAGTCCTTATCATATTGTTTCAGTAACTACTGTGCATGCCTGTCTCACTATAAACTTCTTTCAGCAAAATTATCATCTTCATTTTACAGGGAAAACATGTCAGATTTAAAGGAGACTCTGTAACTTGCAGTTTCCTTTGAGAGTTGGATTGGGCTATAAAAAGGGCTCTGGATAGCCTTCTCCATCGCACTTTGAACGGGTCACTTCTCTAATATTCCCTATAAAGCCAGGCGGTCCGTTCAGCCAGATCCATCCCATTTCAACAGGTTCTTCATTTTTCATATATTTATTTCAGACATAGTTTCCCTTCTTTATCTTCACCCAGTTAATCTGGCCATTTCTATCTTGAAATGGAATTTCATCACGCTGCAGGCTTTCAATATCGATTTGGAATCTGTAAACCAGCTTATTGATTAGTATTGCTGCTTGAGTACTGGGAAGCAGAAGAGACCAAAAAGACAGAAGAAAAGGTAGTCCTTTATCATATTGTTTCAGTAACTACTGTGCATGCCTGTCTCACTATAAACTTGTTTCAGCATAAACTTAATCTTCATTTTTCAGGGAAAACATGTCAGATTAAAGGAGACCCTGTAACTTGCAGTTTCCCTTGAGAGTTGGATTGGGCTGTAAAAAGTGCTCCGGATCTCCATCGCACCTTGAACGAGTTACTTCTCTAATATTCCCTATAACACTAATGCTGGCTGTACAGGCCAGCATTAATGGATAGCTGGGCGGGTGGGGGGTGGGTGATTATTTAAGAAAAATAATTCACCCACCCCCTCTGTTTGTGTGTGGCCTGTTCAGCCATATCAATCCCAATTCAACAAGTTCTTCATTTTTCATATATTTCTATCAGTTCTATTTCCCTACTTTACCCGCACCCAATTTATCCGGCCATTTCTATCTTCAAATAGGATTTCGTCACCCTGCAGGCTTTCAATATCGATTTTTGGAATCTGTAATTGTAAACCAGCTTATTGATTAGTATTGCTGCTTGAGTACTGGGAAGCAGAAGAGACCAAAAACACAGAAGAAAAGGTATTCCTTATCATATTGGTCAGTAACTACTGTGCATGCCTTCTTGTTTCAGCATAAGCATCATCATTACTTTTCAGGAAAAGGCATATCCAATAGATATATCAAAACACCAAATTTCACCAAAATTTGGCGCAAAGTACTGCTATGTCATATTTGCCCTTTTTTCCATTTGTCAAAGTAATTCATGGAGAGTAATATGTGTCATTTGTGTTATATATTTTTTAATACAATATTTTTCATTATTGTTATTATTTGCATTTAAAATATATTTTAAATATGAAAATTAATAATTAATGAATTAATTAAAATAAGAATAAAAAAAATTTAAATATAGCAAAAACGATTATTTTTTATATTTATTAATGAATTTAATATTTTCGTTAATTTAACGTAATTATTTATTTAATAATTTATATATTTGTAAAATAAATAAATAAATAAATAATCTTTCAAATTATTAAATTATTTAGAATTAAAAAAAAAAAGAAAATGATTAAACACTTTTCATTTGGTGTAATGATTGGAGATATTTTTAGTTTAGTACAAAATGATATAAATTTTGGTATAGGGTTGAAGATGGCTTCAGAAGAAAATGATCTTTTCGACGTTGAAGCCCAGCAATTACCGTTGCTGCCAACACATGAACCAGAAAGTACTTCAAGACGGACTTGGCGGATGGCAATTTTGTTTATACGCTCGGCCAACCTTTTCAAGTCATTGGGAAAAAACTATTCCACCGATGGCTCTTCATCTGATTCGAGCGTATCAATATCGTTGCCTGCTTATACTTCTGTTGGTACTGCTGATGGTGAAGATAATGCGGTACGTAGTATTAACTTATATAATCTCTTTTCCAACTTAATTTTAGAGTTCAGTAAATCATATATGTACAATCAAGACTGCAATAATTAATCATCATCATTTCTTTTGTATAAATAATCAGGGTTCAGAAATCGTGGAAGCTGCACATGTTTCGCTGGAGTTTCCTGAGGATTCCTTAATTGTCAACTCTACTCCCCAGAGTGAATACACCAGTACTATTGAGCTCCAGCGCATCCAGATGGGAAACATCACCGAGATGGTAAAGACAATGAACTTGGACGAACTTCATAATATTGGAGGAGTCCAGGGAGTTGCAGATGCATTGAACACTAATCTCATTAATGGACTTTCTGATAACCTTGAAGCTTTTTCTGAATGCAATACAAACGAAATCTCTCAAGCCCTCACCTTCTTCCACTTCTTTAAGGAAGGGTGCAACAACTACACAATCTTCCTTCTATCATTAGCTGCCGTCCTATCCCTGTCCTTTGGAATTAAGCAAGAAGGCGTAGCGAATGGCTGGTTTGATGGGACAATTTTACTTGTTTCCATCTTTGTACTTGTTGTTTTTATAGCAATACGTTCTTACTCCCAAGCAAGGTGGTACCAGAAGAAGTTCAAGAAACAATGGTTTTCAGAAGGGAGGAATGGGAAAGTAAAAGTTATCAGATCAGGGGATGCTTTAGTAGTTCCTTCATCTGGTCTACGTGTTGGTGATCTAATATGTTTGCTGAACGGATATCAGGTTCCAGCTGATGGAATATTTGCAGATGGTCAAGCACTACAGTTGGACGATGGGTTAAGTACTCTGACAGTTGACAGCGAACACCCATTTTTGTTCTATGGTTCAAGGGTGATCAATGGAGATGCTCGAATGATTGCGACATCTGTGGGGACGGACACAATGCTGGTCCCGATGATGGGCAAGGAGATCGAATCTCCTGAAAAGAAGTGCGAATTTGAAGTTTTACTTCATAAATTGAGAACCCGTGTAGACTTTTCTGCACTTCTACTCTCAATCCTTATCCTTATAGTTATGTTTCTACGATATTCACTGGGAAAAAGAGATGATGAATTCGGTCATAGACCAGATCCAAAGGGAGAACCTACTCGTTTGAAAACTATTATGGATGTCATCAAAGGAATTATAATAGAATCAAAGGGGACAGCAAGAGTTTTGATTGCTTCGCTGAGTGTCTCAGTGGTAGGTATAATGGAAGGCATACCTTTTGTCATTTCATTTGCAGTCGCCCGTAGGAGCCGGAAGACACTAGCAGAAAACGCTTCAGAGAATGACCCACTAGCTTGTGTGAAAATGGCATCAGTTACAGCCATTTGCACTGACAAATATAGTGGATTGACAGTTGACAAGTTTTTTGTGGATAAGGGATTTGTTGGGGAAAGCTCTGAGGTATCCCCAAATGTCCTCGAATCTTTATGTGATGGAATTGGAATATCACTTCTCTCGTCATCTCACAGAGTTAATGATTTAAAGGAATTGGTACTTATCTCCTGGGCTGAAGATAAGTTTGGTTTACGAAGGGAAACCCTAAGACATCAATGCAGCGTTGTCAAGCATACAGAGGATAACCTATTCCGATGTAGTGGAGCACTTTTGCTGAAAACCACAGAAAATGGACAAGAGCGGCATTTACATTATAATGGACCTCCTCAGGATATTTTGTCCATGTGTTCTGGTTACTATAACGTTGCAGGGGAAATACATGCAATAAATGGTGAAAAAAGGAGAACGTTTGAACAAGTCCTTAGGGACTATATGCTAGATGGACGAGAAGTAATCGCATATGCTTGGAAACGCACAGATGGATCTAATGTTATGTCAATTGAAGCAAATGATTTGATCTTCGTAGGAATGGTAGGCCTGAGTAACATAAATCCGGTTTGTATAAGAAATGCTGTCTCAACTTTGAAAGAAGGTGGAGTTAGGACTATTCTTGTTTCTGGAGATTGTATTGATGTACTTAGAACTATTGGCAACAACTATGGGCTGCTTACTCCGGAGTCGGATGCTCTAACAGGTGAGGAATTTAGGAACTTAACTGACGGAGAGAGAAGGCAGAAGTTGGACAGAATATGTATCATGGGAAGCTGCACCTTGCACGACAAGGTTCTTCTGGTGAAGTGCTTGAGAGAAGAAGGTGAAGTAGTTGCAATGTTGGGGCAGAAAACAAATGATGCTCCAGCACTAAAAGAAGCCGATATAGGGCTGACAATGGGGATTTGGAGCTCAGAAATTGCCAGAGAGTGCTCCGATATCGATATCAGGAATGGGAATTTTACTTTTCTTGTTAATCTGATGGAGAACGGGAGATGCATTTATGAGAACATAAGAGAATTCATCCAATTTCAGCTTATATTCACCATATCAAGCTCATTAATTAATTTCATCGCAACTATAGGTTGGGGGGATGCCCCCATGACAGCATTTGAGTTTTTCTGGTTGAACATGGTGGTTGCAATTCCTGGAGGCTTGGCACTGCTGAGTGAGTGTCCAAAAGAAAGCCTAATGAAAATGCCTCTGAAATCAGCTGGACAACTTATTACCAAGGCCATGTGGAGAAATATTGCCCTACAAGCTTCTTATCAAACTGCCATATGTCTGACTCTTCACCTCAAAGGACGTGCAATCCTTGGAATAGGTGCTGGCCCCATTAAGTCCATGATTTACAATTCCTTGTTTCTCTGCCAGTTATTCAACTTATTCGTTGCTAGAGAGCTTGAAAAGAAGAATATTTTCAAAGGTCTTCACCAGAATAGATGGTTTTGGGTCGCATGTGCTATTTTTCTAACGTGTCAAGCAGCAATGGTGGCAGCAGAAAATGTGTTCGACATTAGTACGAGGTTGAACTGGATGTTGTGGGCTTCATGCATTCTAATCGGACTAATTTCATGGCCGCTGGATTTCGCCGGGAAATGGATTGGTTCGCTAGTATTCCTTTCCTGATAACGAATTTATTTTTATTTTTGGCATGTCATGCATGCATTTTTTTATTATGCATGTAAATATCAATAAAGATACTTGGATGCTGTAAAAATTACAGCCCTCCCCACTTTTATATGGGAGACGGGTGTACAAGTTGTTGTGCATGTAGCACTTTTGTGTAAATATAAGTCATTTACTCTATTTTTGTATTATAAATATTGTAAAATACGGGTTGTGAATCATCCATGTGAGATGATCTGACCCACAAGTTATTAAAGTGGATTGGAGGGAGTGATTTGAATAGAATTCATTCATAACTTCCCTCAATTTTTATCAACTTCCGTAACTTTATTTTGCATGAGAGAGAGAGAGAAAAGGCAAGAATAAAGTGAAATTCGTATAGAAAATCACTCAAAAATAGAAAAATACCTGAAATGACATATATGACATGAAAATTCATAAAATTAGACATTTAGATTGTGGATGATAATTCCTCATCCATTGTGATTGGGATTGAGACTATTGGAGAACAAGAAAATGAAGATTTTGAAACTTTAAAATACAAGGCGATTCAACTACATGGATTTTGGAATTCATTTTTTCAAGTAAAGAGTCTTGATCCGAAATTTATGATTACGCATGTTTCAAATTATTACATTGGCATTAGAGCCGTAAAGTTGATTTCCTTACTATAATACATGCTTAAATATTATATTACATGATTCAATTGAGTTATAAATCTTACATGTAAAGTTTCGAAACCTTATATGGTCTTTAATGACATTTTTTGATATATATGTTTAAAATTAATGAAATTTTGCAATTAATCTATTAATCTCTCTCCTCCACTAGTGTCATGGCAAGTATACATATTTCAATTAGCTAACACAAGAATAAATAACACCAACAAAATAAACAATAATGATGTCACCTGTCACTTTATTATTTGATCGTTTTAAACACAGACAGTTTTTCATCCATTCAAATTTGTCAACACACATTATGTCACTTTATCTGTCAATCACTTTTTGGCAAAGTAACATAACCTAAAATAAAATAACCATGGCGTTCTCTAAATACTGACATCCATCGTCCTCAATGTGTAGTTATCTTCTCTTATCACTACCAAGTTTAGCATTTAGCAAGCATCAAATATGTTTGAATTCACTAAAATTCGGGTTTTCCAAGTTTTATCCATTTAAATAAAAACAAAACAAGAGCAATTGCATTCCACATACAGAACTAACGATTTTTTTATTTTTTTTCCGAAAGGATCAATTGCCCAAGAATGCAAAGGTTTGTGTCTTAATTTGCACCAAGATTTAAAGATTTAGCCTCCATTTCTTGTAATAAAAATGGGTGGAATAGTGTTTTTTTGAAAAATGAGTGGTTGGACAGAGGGAAAAGTTTTCGGTTTAAGTGTAATATTTACTTTATGAAAATAAGAAAGAGAAAAATGAAATAGAATTTAATGAGAGCCAGCATAGTTTTTTTCTCGCAAATCTATCCCTTTTAAAAATAGATGGGTTTAAGTCAACCCAGCATAATTTTTTTCCTTGCAAATCGATCCAATAAAGTAACTTGACAATTTTTTGATAGAGTTTAGTGTTTAGCAATTTGCTTATCACACCAGTAGTTATGTTTAACTAAAGTAAAAGTTACTTTTTAACCAACCTGCTATAATGTTCAACCCTCGCTTGCAATCACCGAATTTCATGTTTAATGTACCGTTATTGCAAACCACAAATCTTTTTGTAGATATAAATTACCATTACAGAATAAAGCAGAAAAAAAGAAAATAAAACATATAAGCATGCATGAAACCACAGTACCCAACAGTTCTTCAAAATCAGACCTAATCATGCATCAATTAATTCACAAACTCAACAAAATAAAGGTAGTAATACATACAAATTAATTAATTGACTTAATACCTTAGATATTTGTAGTGGGAAATCATAGGTGACGATGACTAAACTGGTCTTCTGTTCTTCTTGAATCGCCATGGATGATGAGATTATCAGATGTATACGCTGGCACAATCATTTGAATATGCTGTATTCAAATTGCAATATTATAATGTGTGATGATTGTGACAAGTTGACCATAAATTAAGGTAAGTCAATTGTATATCACTTTATCTCCTCCAATTAGGTTTTTTGAACAAAAAAAATTTCTCCAATCATGAGACCCTAGTCGGTGCATGCATGTGAGGAGAGAGATACTTTTCAAACATTTAAGAAAATTGACACTTTTTGTCCTCAAACTTTTTTAGCACCATAGATCATCCGCCTTTCGAAAATGTAGCAAAACTCGTCCCTCCGTCCATTTTAACCTTTTTGCAACTAGGTCATTAAATACAGTTGCTTAGAGATAAATGAACATGAGAATTAGAGAAATTACAACTTAACTACAGTTTGGTTTGTTAGCAAACGATCAGGTTCTTATCTTCTTTTCTAAATTAGTAATTCTTTTGATTCATTATGCAAGTAGATCATTTGTGGGGAAGAAGAATTTGCCGACAGAACTTAAAAGTTTGGATTTACGCTATATGACTGCTAATTATACACTGGTTTCTCATATAATTAAATATTTCTGGAGAAACTTAGTTACATTCTAATTGATAGTTTGATAAAAATAAAAAATAAAAAATAATAAATTAATGAAGGCCCAGAAAAAAAAGAAAATAATTTGTGGGTCATTAGCCAGAGATCTTTTTCATTCACAGAAATTAATTAATTTTTTTAACAAGAATTGGCCTGGATTGTGTTAGAAATCTGAGCTTTTCTTTGGCTGCACCACAACATATCTTGGCAACGTCTATTATGTCACCTACTTTCTGACAAAGTAGCATTAATCATTTTCAGGAATAAACTGGGTTTTATTTCTCAAGACAGGCCACGATTCGTGCAAGTTTGAGTATCTCCCCTAATCACCAATTCTTGAATCAGACCCGACAGACCAGACCAGGCTTCATTATCATATTTATGTCCTCAACTTTTTTTATGTCGCATTATCATTCTCAAATTAATATTAGTTGTCCTATCATGAGATAAAATAAAAATACTTATATGTCCCTCTTATTTTTAAATAAGCCAAAAAGACAAAATTAAGATTAAATATTTATTCCTCATTTTAAAGCATACTAATAATATTTTTGGACGAAAACTGTGATGAAGCACAAGATTTGAAATGTAAAAGATAAAAATATAACGCAAAAAGTTAAAAATAATAAACATTGTGATTCTAAAGTTCAAGACCTTTAATATAAATAAATAAAAAGATGCGGCGTGGATATAATGTACCTACTTATTGATAGCCAACCAGGTGGAATCTACAAATACCTGTTTTGGAGAAGATCATTGGTAGACACTCTAGGTCCACCACGTGCATCATATTAATCTACCTGTTGACACATAAAAATTCAGCCCAAATCGAACAACCCAAGAAGTAAAATTCAATTGGAGGATCCCCAAATCAGATAGCCCAAAGAACGAAATCCAATCGAATAAATCAAGGTGAAGGCCCAAATAAGGAGGCCCAAGAATGCGGTAACGCCATCGCCCAAGTTTGCAAGTTGCCCAGAATCTGAACGAATAGAGTGTCATGCGGTCGCCCAGAGCTGTTACTCTATTTCTCGCCCAAACCTTCAAGTCGCCCAAAGTATCAACAAACATAACGCGTCGTGGTTATCAAGAAATGCAGTTATCAAAACAGTTGTTAAAACAGCCCTATCACGTTCCACGATTCAAGGAATTCAATCGAAAGCGGTTGAACGATGAAAGGTAATGACAGCAGTTAAAAGGCAGTTTTCATGACAAAATGGCCACTACGAAGAAAGTGGGTAGTTATAGGGCGATCAGGCAGTTTTTAGAGTAGTTAATCACAAAGGAATCGCCTATGAAGTATAAAAGGGAGAAATGACATAGAAGCAAAGGACGAAACTCTCGAACTGAGAATATGTAATTTTCATTTCCTTAGCTTTTAGATTTAAACACTTTTCTTTCTGTAACTCGTGTGCTTGCGCCCCTTGAAGGCACGTTGTTTTTCATTTCCAATTGTAAAGTTCATCGCCAATAAAAGAACACCCCTTTTTAGGACTTTGTCTCAAGAGGTTTCGTCCCTTACACAATCGTCTGATCCTTTTTAATTGTTAGCGACATAACCCGCGCGAAACAATTTGGCACGCCCAGTGGGACAGTGGTGTTAGGTGTTGAAAGTACAAAAGGTGAAACAATATGCCTCAGAGATCCGACAAGGAAGGAGCAAGTCAGGGAGGAATCCAGTCTGTAATCGAGCGATATGAGGAGCAGCATGCCTCTCCACGAACAGATGGACAAAATCAAAGCAGTAACAGTCGTTACGAACCAATGACGGAGTTGAGTCCTCGAACCATGCGTGCATTACTCGGAGAACTCACGCAAGACATTGTTGAACAGGTAAATCTTCGAAGTATTCATAATATGGAAAGATTTACACAAAATGGGAATGTACACTATGACAACATGGCCAAACAACTAAAGACGTTGAACGAAACAATGAACAAGTTAGTGGGCCAAATATGTCAACCGGCTATACCTCTTACAAGTCACTTTCAAACTAGGACAATTGTAGGACATAATCCTTCGGTCCCAAATCCGAGTCAAGGGGTAGAACCACTTTTTGATCCCTCTACTTCAAACCAAGGGGGTATTACAATACCAAATCAAAATAATGGTAGCGGTATGCCTAACTTGGGGGGTAATCCAAACGTGAGAGATAATGTCCTAAACAATGGACAGAATATTCCACGTGGAAACGAGGGAGTAGATGTTCAGGCTAATGGTAATGACCCTAATCATGGTAACTTTGTTGTCAATCAAGGACCAAACATCAGGCCTCATGCAAACCAACAGGTTAACCAACCTGTAGGAATTCTATATGACCCCAACGTCATGTTGAGGAATCAGATTATGGAAATCGTACAGGATCAGATGACTTTTGGGGTGCGTCCCGTCATTAGGCCGACGTACACAAAGCCATATCCTGATTGGGTAGATCAAGCATATCCATGGCCTAGAGGATACAAAGTGCCAGAATTCTCACTGTTTACTGGTTTAGGAGAGGTGTCCACTCTAGAACACATAGGGCGATTCACATTGCAAAGTGGTGATGTAACCGATTACCATAAAATGAGACTTTTCCCTAGTTCGTTAACAGGAGTAGCTTTCTCTTGGTTCATCAACTTGCCAGCGAACTCTGTTCAAACATGGCAACAATTGGAACAATTGTTTCACGCTCAGTTTTATAAAACTGAGTCTGAAGTCACTTTGGCCGATTTGGCGAATTTACGTCAAATGCCAAATGAATGGGCAGAAAGTTTTCTCCAAAGGTTCAAGATAGCAAGAAGCAGGTGTTTTGTACCTCTGCCCGAAAAAGAATTTGTCAAGATCGCTCAAGGCTGCTTGAGCTTTGATTTAAAAGAGATGTTCCAGGACAAAGAATTCCCTGGCCTGTTCCAGTTGAGTGCAAATGTGATTAGGTATGAGCGACTGATAAGAGAAGAAGAACAAATGAAAAATTCTAGTAAAGGGACTTATTACAAAGACCCGAATTTTGACGTTCATACCATCGACGACGAGTCATACGATCAGGCCGAAATGTGTTTGGCCGAATTGGTCAAAGGGGATACATATACTTGTCCCATAATGGCCAAGCCTAGACCATCGGGCAAAGATGAGCCCATAAAGGATGGAAACATAAAGGCTAGAACGTTCTCGTTCGATGTGACCAAAGCCGACCTTATATTCGACAAATTATATAGGGATAAGCAGATAAGATTGCGATAAGCACAAATTGCCAAACCCTGAACAAATTAAGGGTAAAAAATATTGTAAATGGCATAATGCATGGTCACATTTGACTAACAATTGCTTGGTTTTCCATCATGTATTGCAGGATGCTATATTGAATCAGGACGAATTACGTTCGATGATAAGAAAAAGATGGCAGTGGACGAGAATCCTTTCCCACAGCCACTTGGAGTAAGCATGGTAACATCTGGATTCAAGAACAAGTTACCAAAATTCAAGTTGATCGTAGATGACGGAGAAGAAGACCCTAGACCACATCCCAGCGTCTTTGAACGAATCAAAGGAAAAGAACCAAAAAAGGACGAAGACGTCTTGTGTGCAAGGTGTAGAAGGGAAGTAAATGGAAACACGGAGAAACCAGGGACATGGCAGCGTCCTCATCGCCCTGTTTTCTTCCCAAACATTCAGCCTGGTAGAGGGCGAGGTACATCATTCTATAGAGGACCGCCTTTTGAAAGGCAGTTCAGACCAGCAGACACTGGAAGAACATTTAGGCCGTAACCTCGTCGGCCAAATGTATGGCATTCATTCCAGTATAGTGCAGGAAGGGCAATACCCTTCGATGAGATGACTAGGACCCAACAAAGGCGTTTCCAACGAAACTACGGACGGATGATGAGGTAGCAACAAGGAATGCCACATCCCAAAGCGCCTCTACTACTCAAGGTAGCCAATCAAAACGTCCTCAAAGGTAGTAAAGAGACTAGTACAGACGAATCAATGAAGGAACTGCCAGAAACCTCTTCTGGGAGATCAAGATTTGAGAGGGACAAAGGGGATGAAAAAGATCCAGATCAGCCCCTTGCTATCCAATTCAGTACGATGCCTCCTGTCGTGGTCAATAATTACCTACTGGCCAATGAATTCAAGAATAAGGAAGAGGAAGAAGAGAGGGAAGACAACGAAGGAAAAGCCTGCGTGCTAGTATGTGAAGAAGGCTAGACTTCTGGAGAGGCCTACAACGATGAAGAGGACGATGGGATGACAGACATTGAAGAAGAAATCGACCTAGAAGCAGAAAGGAAAAAGAGGGGAGTATCGCGCAATACTCTGTTTAAGCAACTACACCAAGAGGGAGTTCGTGAAGTAGACTTGTTGGGGGAGCCATTTGGGCATCCTTTCGACTTCTACGTACTATACAGGACACCCAAAAGGAAGAAGAGAGTACCTCGCTCTGAAAAGTATGGGTCACCTCCAAGGATAATGCCCCCTCCCACAGGTTGGATAACTGATGGGGAAGCATTAGAAAAAAGTAAGAAGGAAATTCAG